GGAGCGTGTATTCATAGACAGGTGAGGAAGACAAGGCAGAACTACTTTAGTTAGAGAAGATATCTTGGATGAACCCACCACGTCACTAAGGAGTTCAATGGGTTCGATACATTTCCCATCGTCGACAGAGAAGAGAGTGGACAAAAGGACCTCCCTCCATTCGCAACATTCCACGCCTGAATTACGAGTGACCTTCGTTTCAGAGAGCGTTGGAAATAGAATTGGCGCCATGAGGCCTGCCATCTATGAGAATGGAACACGAGTGAGCAGTCAAGATGAGGAATAAAAATTTGAGCTTACACTTTCAACACTGGATAAAGGAAAGTAGTCGTCTGTGCAAATGCTGTCACTGATATTGCTCCGGATGTTTCTAATAGCTGAAGTTAGATGGGCGATGATGAAACAGATGTTCGGGGAGAGCAGTGTAGTAGCTAGACGCAGGGCTCGTTCCAAGGAGTCGATAGAATTGAGGATATCTGAACGAGTCTTCTGTATTCTACCCGGAATTAACGGTGGTCGAAAGAAGGACATACTCACGCGGGAATCAATGGAATTCAATGAGAACCTAGACGAAAAAAAGACAATTTCCAAAAAATCCTACCTTCGAGACCTCGGGGACACTGAATGGGAGCGACGGCACACCTTCGAAGTTGATGCTTCTGATTCTGCACGTATTTGTATACTGGAGCCACGCAGTGACGTTCTTCTGCTGAGCAAGAAAGAGAATACTGATGACACCCAAGATAATGCCAACATTCATTCAAGGAGTGAACTCACAAAGCACCCATTCGGTTACCAACCCACGCACTAGGTGGATGCCGATTGTTTTTCATTTGCCCCTCGTGACGCTCTAGGCCCAAAAGAGAAATCAATGCTCAGGTAATATGTTTAACAAGTGAAAGAAATGTTGGACTAGTTTTGCACTTACCCAAAACTAACTTGAAAAGGCAAACTGTGTTCGGATTAGGAGGGGTAAAGGAGTCGAAAGTTTCCAACAACTTGACGATCGTCCGAACGATGTCAGTAAAAACACCTGCCTTATTGTTCTTTGAAAGTATGTTACTATCAGAACCTTGATAGAATAGATAGAGAATAAATTTACTTAGGTTCGTTAAATTGGAATTAAGAGAACGAAAATCACCCCAGTAAGTCAAACAAGAATTCAAGTTCAAACTTACAACTACTTAAGAAATCCAGGTGGACAAGAAGACTAGGACTCAGGTCAATTCCTGATTCCTGCTTATTGTGATACAAATTTTTACCAATTTCAATAAGCCAATCCGAGCAAAATTTGCATGTCTCAAGAGATGGGAAGTCGAGAATCTCTTTCACAACCAAGGAATTCTTGTAGTGGATTGAAGGATGGAGGTCATTTTTCACCCGATCCGGCAAATAAGATGTGAGCCTATGCCGCGTATGATGGGGGGTTAGCAACGCACCTTTTCAAAAGCTTTAAAGACAGTGTGCGGTAGTAAAGCGCTCTTTCAGCTTGCTCCGAAGCTGATACTCCTGATTCAATACAAAGCCTTGATTCTTTTTTAAAATGAAAACCGAAATCACGAAAATACTACTTGTCTTTCCAGCAGGTATATAACGCAGAGGTTCATCATTGGGACTAGAGATGTATAAACGAAGAGAATCTTACTAAAACAGAGGCGATTTGCGTTTCCCGTAACATACAATCCTGACATAGTCATTTGAAAGAAGAAACGAGAGAAATTCGTCAATCTTAGCAGTATCCCCATGGTTGGCGACAAAATAACGCCTCAGCCAAGTTCGTGCATCCGAAATGGGAAATGGATCAGGAACCTCACTCTTCCACTGAAGAAGTACACTTCTGAGCTAAGCCAGTGAAATTAGTGAACCGAAGTAAGTTACAGTGTCTGTTGCACTAAAGCAAGAAGGCGACCCATCCATTTACTAATGACAGATTTTTATTACTCACATCAAACTACCCGCATTTTTCATGACCTAAACAAAAAATCATGCTCTAATCCCCTAACATTTTCTGCTTATTTTGACACCTACCAACTAATTATTCCTCTTTAGTTGTTATATCCGAATTCGCCCTAATTTTATAAATTAATGCAATTAAATCAATAGATCGAACCAACCACAATTGGCGATAGCTAGTATCATCCCCCTTCGTGCTTGAAACCCACACATAACCCCCTGCCACCATAACACTACCTTAGATCCTTCTATTTCTCGACCAGCTTTTGGCCATCACAACTACAAACGTCAAGCCTCCTCCCTCCTCAGTCCCCCAGACGTATTGGAGTCGCCACCATCACCAACAGATAGGCAACCCGGAACTCGTTTCAGCCGTGCAGATCGTCCAGTTTATCAGTCCCTTCAACCTGTTCCCCTTTCAGCATACCAAAAAAAAACAACAAAGAGGTGACTCTAGTATTATGCCGGCGAAGTGAAAACAAACCAGATAAATAGAATTCAGTGATA